GGGGGGGGGGGGGGGGGTCGCGATGCAAGGGAGCTCAGGAGGGCACAGAAGTGGTTTCCTGTTGCAGAACTGTACAGGAAACCTACTGCAGCAGGTTTGCTTTCTGCCATCCCTCCTCTTGTCCATTTCATATGATGTCATCCACATGAGCCTTGGGTGGACTGGGTGGGATCAGCGCAGTGCACTCTGGGGATGAGCTCAGGTGTGTTCAGACAGAAGCCTGCACCCGCCCAATCTATCCTTCCTGAAAGCCGACTGCTAAACATAGGTGGCACAAGTGCAATAACCAACCTCCTTTATGAAGGGCCGAAAGCATAGTGTCTATCAGAGGATGGGACTTAATATGGGATGGTAGAGTCTGTCACGGTGTAGTCTGTAGTGGTAACTGGGACATGTTCTGTTCTAACCACACCCAAACCCTCTCATGAGCATGTTTAATCCAGTCTAAAGTTCTGGTAAGATGGACTGCTTGGTGGTTTTCAGTGGGGTTTGGAAACCCAATACAGCCACTCTCCTTTAGGAGGGCTAAGAGGTGATGGGTTATGCATTTGGTTTTGTACCCCCAAAGGAAGTTCAGAAAGTCCGTCTTGACAACTTGGAGGAAGGATTGTGGGATTTGAACAGGGAGAGTTTGCAATAGGTACAGTGCCTTGAAAAAGTATTCATATCCCTTGAACTTTTCTGTATTTTGTCATGTTACAACCAAAAACATAAATGTGTTTTATTGGGATTTTATGTGATAGACCAACAAAAGTGACACAGTTGTGAAATGGAAGGAAAATGATAAATGGTTTTAAAATTCTTTTGTACAAATAAAAGTGAAAAGTGTGGCGTGCATTTGTATTCAAATACAATACTTTGTAGAACCACCTTTTGCTGCAAGTCTTTTTGGGAATGCCTCTACCAGCTTTTGCACATCTAGAGAGTGACATTTTTGCCCATTCTTCTTTGCAAAATATCTCAAACTCTGTCAGATTGGATGGAGAGTGTCTGAATAGCAATTTTCAGGTCTTGCCACAGTTTTTTTTTTATTAGATTTACATCTGGACTTTACTTGGGCCATTCCAACACATGAATATGCTTTGATCTAAACCAGGGGTCTCCAAACTGCAGCGCAAGGGCCGGATGGGGCACTTTGCTAGCTTTTAATGGGCACCTGGGGACACTATTCTTCCCTCTGACACCAACAATGGGACACTATTCCTCCTACTGACACCAAGAATGGGACACTATTCCTCCCACTGACACCAACGATGGGGCTCTATTCCTCCCGCTGATAGGAACAATGGGGCTCTATTCCTCCCGCTGATAGGAACGATGGGGCACTATTCCTCCTGCTGATAGAAACAATGGGGCACTATTCTTCCTCCTACTGACCACCAACCCTGAGGCCATGTTTATTGTCACTGATGCTGGGCCCAGGACATTTTTACCCCCACTGGCCACAACCCGGCCCTTCTAAAGTCTGAAGGACAGTATATTGCCCATTTGTTTTAAACATTTAGAGACCCTGATCTAAACCACTCCATTGTAGCTCTGGCTGTATGTTTAGGGTCGCTGTCCTGCTGGAAGGTGAACTTCTGCCCCAATCTCAAGTCTTTTGCAGACTAACAGGTTTTCTTTTAAGACTTCCCTGTATTTTGCTCCATCCATCTTCCCATCAACTCTGACCAGCTTCCCTGTCCCTGCTGAAGAATAGCATCCCCACAACATGATGCTGCCACCACCATGTTTCACAGATGGTGTGTTTAGGGTGATGTGAGTGCAGTGTTAGTTTTCCACCACACATAGCATTTTGCTTTTAGGCCAAAAGTTAAATTTTGCTCTCATCTGACCAGATCACCTTTATCCACATTTGCTGTGTCCCCCACATGGCTTCTCGCAAACTGCAAACAGGACTTCTTTCAATGATGGCTTTTTTCTTGCCACTCCTTCATAAAGGCCAGATTTGTTGGAGTGCACAACTAATAGTTGTCCTGTGGACAGATTCTCCCACCTGAGCTGTGGATCTCTGTAGCTCCTCCAGAGTTACCATGGGCCTCTTGGCTGCTTCTCTGATTAATGCTCTCCTTGTCCGGCCTGTCAGTTTAGGTGGACAGCCATGTCTTGGTAGGTTTGAAGTTGTGCCATACTCTTTCCATTTTCAGATGATGGATTGAAGAGTGCTCCGTGAGATGTTCAAAGTTTGGGATATATCTTTATAACCTAACCCTGCTTTAAACTTCTCCACAATTTTATCCCTGACCTGTTTATTGTGTTCTGTGGCCTTCATGATGCTGTTTGTTCACTAATGTTCTCTAACAAACCTTTGAAGGCTTCACAGAACAGCTGGACTCTATTTACAAATTAGGTGACTTCTAAAGGCAACTGGTTCCACTATATTTTAGTTAGAGGTATCAGAGTAAAGGGGGCTGAATACAAATGCATGCCGCACCTTTCAGATATTTATAAAACATTTTCAAAACCGTTTATCATTTTCCTTCCACTTCACAATTATGTGTCACTTTGTGTTGGTCTATCACATAAAATCCTAATAAATTACATTTATGTTTTTGGTTGTAACATGACAAAATGTGGAAAATTTCAGGGGGTATGAATACTTTTTCAAGGCACTGTATAGTAAGTGGGGGAGAACGGTCATCTTCAAGATACTGTTCCTCCCAAACCACATGAAGGTTTGTTGGTGCCATCGTTTACAATCTCCCCTGGTTTTTATTGACCAGGGAAGGAAGTTCTCCTTAAATACATCCGAATTAGATAGGGTGAGGTAAATGCCCAGATGCTTAAGCTTGTGGCTGGCCCATGTAAACAGAAATCTGTGCTGCACATTGTATAAGATACAGGTTGGACAAATCTGTGTACATCTTAAGGGTCTTTAATAAGTTAGGAATGGTAAGCTCAGGACTGGTTACAAAAAAACAAAAAATTATTGACATATGCAGCACCTTTAGGATGAGCGCTTTCACTTTGTAGGCCCCTGATATCTGGGTTCTCCCAGATTTTGATTTAAAGTAGTTGTAAAGGCTTAAGGTTTTTTTACCTTCATGCATTCTATGCTGGAAGGTAGAAAACCTTCTCTGTGCAGTATCCCCCCCCCAGCCCCATCTAAGCCCCCTCTTGATCAAGCAATGTGCACTGGAGTCTCGGCTATCCTGGGACTCCCTCTCCTCATTGGCTGAGACAGCAGCATGAGCCATTGGCTCCCACTGTTGTCAATGAAAAGTGGGGGGGGGGGGGGGGGGGAGGGCAGGGCCGAGCAGCGGCTCTGTGTCCCCCCCCCCCCTTTGTTAAGTGGGGGGGGGGGTGGGTGGGACAGGAAAGCAGAGGATATGTGAGTACAGGACAACAGGTGCACTTGCGGTGCACAGTATATTTACCTATAGTAAATTTATCCCCATTGGATCCCTAGTCCAACTTTAACGTGTGTAATTTTGTGCCTCTGCCCTGGAGCCAATTTGACATGGACATACCTGGTACAAGTCCCAAGGGTGCCTCCTGTTAGGGTATACTTATAGAATTTTCAAATCACCTTTGATTTAGAGGAGCTAATTTATCAAAGGGGATTTGTAAAACAATCTCCTTTCCTCCTTTGACAGCTAGAAGTCGACACCATGTGATTGGCTCCTGATCATTAGTGAAGACCTGGTCTGACAACTAGCTACTAGAGTTTCATCTAATGGCTCTCTGTATATACTGTAAATGTCAGCAAAATATACAGTATTTTAAAAAATGGTGTGTGTGTGTGTGATGGAATTGGGCTGCAGCACACGTGCAGTATAAAGGGGAGCTGGCTAGAGGTCTTTTCGAATGCTGTGAACTACAGTGACACACAATGAATATTGCTGGATCAGGGCACAATGTAACTGTTACCAGTTGAGCTGCTCTCAAGAGAATGAAGTTGTTCATTAAGGCTAGGTTCACATCTGTGCGGGTGGTGCTGCTGCAGATGTGCACGAAAATCCGTGCAGCCACACCACCCGCACAGAGAAATGCGGACCTGCGGGCGGGTGCCGTTAGTTCTAATGGCACGCCGTCCACACTGGAAAACGCAACCATATTGGGAACCGAGGTTCCCGTGCAGGCTGCGATTTTCGGAAAAAGTGCAGGGATTTCTTCTCTGCATGTCACGGGGCACAAGAGTCCAGTCAAATGAATGGACTCTTGTGCCCTCTCAAAATGCGGCCCGCACAGATGCATATATGTGAACCAGGGCTAAAGCTAGCCTGTGCTCAGAAAAACAGACGGCTGATATTTCTAAAATCTCCATTAGGGAATGTTATTTGTCTAGCTGATTCCCTGACTTAGATGTGATGAAAATCAGGCTTTCTGACTTAATTTGCTGCATACTGTTTTCTGGTGCATGACTGAAAGTATTGAAGATACTGAATCGCAGCCAGGCTGCTAGCATTTTCTAAAGGAGAATTCAGCAAAGGTCCCTTAAATATTTCTCTCAGTACAAGTTTTCTGTCTGTGGGGAAAAGAGCCTTTTTTTCCAGCCCTTACCCTAGGTTCACACCTAGGCGTTTTCTGCAGCATTTTGCAGAAACACAGTACAGTCCATTTAACATGATTTCCTATGGGACATGTTCACATCTCCATGTTTTCACCCGGTGCTTTTTTTGGAAAGGGTCACGGACCTTTTTGAACGCAAAAAGTTGTATTTTTGGTTCTATAGCCTTTAATAGAAAAGCTGCAGAAAAGAATTTGTTGCGTTTTTGCTGCGTTTTTGATGTGTTTTGCGGTTTAAATCTGCCTGGAAACAAGAAAAAAAAACTGAAAACACCCCCCGCAAAATGCGTAAAAATGCAGAAATGGGTCAAACGCAACCTGCATAGATGTGATCTTAGCTCTAGAAATAACGATAGTGTTTTGTGAAAAAGCATAATGGCTTGTTATCTAGTATGTTTCTTGTTAATCTTGAGTGTGTGTTTGTAATATATATAATAGTTGTATTTGTCAATATTCAAACTGTATTTCCTTATTTCAATTTATTTTGCCAGCTAGAGGTGTTTCCATACCCAGAGATCAGTAAAGATGAGTTGGAAGAAATAAACCAGCTTGTAGGCCCAGTGGAGAAGTTCTTCAGTGAAGAAGGTGAGATTACACTACTCAAAAAGCATTGGATGTGAGTCTGGCACATGAAAACCATTAACCATTTGCCACCTGGCCAATGGCCGTTTGGCGGCGGCAAAAGTGCTTCTGCATTCCGGGTGCACGCCATTTGGCGTGCTCCCGCACATGCTCAGTTCGCGCAACTGCAGAGCGGCACAGCGGCGCGATCTGTCACCGGCCGTGTACCTCGGACACGGCCAATGACGGATCTGAGTACCGGCCCCCGTTGCTGGTACCATGTGACCTGCTGTGACCAATCACAGCAGGTCACACGACAGTTGTATACAATGGATGGCTTCATTCATGCCATCCATTGTATACTAGTGCCTAGCTGTGAATGGTCACAGCAGGTCACATGCACATGTCATGTGATTAGCTGTGACCAAATCACAGCTAAGCACAAAAAAAAAAAAAAAAAAAAAAAAACTGAATGAATCGATTTCATTCTGGTAAATGCTTGCTTATAGCAAAGTAATTCTTTGCTATAAGCAAATTGTGTAAAAAAAAATAAAAAAATAAAAAAAATACTGATCACTTCCCCAAAATAGTACAATGTTACTATGGTAACATTGTACTACTTTGGTCATAGTAGAATATGAAAAAAAAATAAAAAAAGTAATAAAAAATTAAAAATAATAAAAAAAATTATATATATATATTTTTTTTCATACTGTCACCAGTCAGTGTCCCTGTTCACCGCCATGCCAGTTATATGATGACCCTGTACTGCACTGATGACAGTATGTAAAAAAAAAAATAGTGAAAATTTTTTTAATTTTTTCATTTTCCGAAAAATTATGACAAAAAAAATACAACTTCAAAAAACTCGCCATTCCTCTTATGAAGTACTTCGGACTGTCTACTCTGCAAAAAGGGGTCATTTGGGGATATCTGTACTGTTCTGACATTCTTGGACCTCAAGAAATTAGATTGGCTGTCAGTACTTCAGGATTGATCAATATTCAGATCTATACCATAGTTTGTGAACTCTATAACTTTCCTACAAACTAAAAAATACATCCTAATTTGGGTTATTTTCACCAAAGACATGTAGCAGAATACATCTCAGCCTAAATTTATGAAGAACAATTATTTATTTGTAAACTTTTTATAACAGAAACAAAGAAAAACTTGTTTTTTTTCGAAATTTTTGGTCTTTTTTTTGTTAATTTAGCAAAAAAATAAAAACCCCAGCGGTGATTAAATACCACCAAAAGAAAGCTCTAGTTGTGTGAAGAAAATGATAAATTTTATTTTGGGTACAATGTTGTATGACCGCGCAATTGTCATTCAAAGTGTGAGAGCGCTGAAACGTGAAAACTGGCCTGGGCAGGAAGGTGTAAAATTGCCCGGTATTGAATTGGTTAAATATACTGTGTTTACTTTATTTAAATTACACCCTGTTCCAAATTATTATGCAAATGATATTTTTTTCTCATTTACCTAAATAATTGATGTAAATAACAGTCAGCATAATTCTCATGTTATCAACTATTAAGAGTACAATTCAAATTTTATTGAACAAACCTAATGATAACAGTATTTTTTTTAAACATAAAACACTTCCAATGCACTGTTCCAAATTATTACGCACAGTAAGTTTCAAAACACTTTATAGGTTGTAAAGAACTTAAAATTGTCAGTTGTTGTGTTTGCAGCATATTTACTGAAATCAAAAGCTATTTCAATCAAACTTTTAACGACATTTTAACTTTTTAAACATTTTAACAGGTCACGTTACATTTTAACATAGGACCCCTTATTTGATAACAGCTTCACAAGTCTTGCATCCATTGAACTTGTGAGTTTTTGGACAGTTTCTGCTTGAATTTGTTTGCAAGATGTCAGAATAGCCTCCCAGAGCTGCTGTTTGGATGTAAACTGCCTCCCACCCTCATAGATCTTTTGCTTGAGGATGCTCCAAAGGTTCTCAATAGGATTGAGGTCAGGGGAGGATGGAGGCCACACCATGACTTTCTCTCCTTTTTATCCCCATAACAGCCATTGATGCAGAGGTATTCTTTGCAGCATGAGATGGTGCATTGTCATGAATGAAGATGATTTTATTATGGAAAGCATAGTTCTTCCTTCTGTACCAGGGAAGACAGTGGTCAGTCATAAACTCCACATACTTTGCAGAGGTCTTCTTTACACCTTCGGGGCCCCTAAAGGGGCCGTCCAGCTCTGTTCCCATGATTCCGGCCCAAAACTTGACACCACCACTGCCTTGCTGACGTTGCAGCCTTGTTGGAACAGGGTGGCCGTCCACCAACCATCCACTACTCTATCCATCTTGACCATCCAGGGTTGCACGGCACTCATCAGTGAACTGGACTGTTTGAAAATTAGTCTTCATGTATTTTTCTGCCCAATGCAGCAGTTTCTGCTTGTGAGCATTGGTTAGTGGTGGCCGAATAGAAGGTTTATGCACAGTTGCAAGACTCTGGAGGACTCTACACCTTGATATCCGTGGGACTCCAGAGGCACCAGCAGCTTCAAATATCTGTTTGCTGCTATGTAATAGTATTTTAGCAGCTGCTCTATTGATCTGATGCATGGATCTGGCAGAAATCTTCCTCAATGTGCCTTTATCTGCACGAACCCGTCTGTGCTCTGAATCAGCCACAAATCTCTTAATAGTGCGATGATCACGCTTAAATTTTCGTGAAATATCTCATGTTTTCATACCTCGTCCAAGGCATTGAACTATTTCACTCTTTTCGGCAGCAGAGAGATCCTTTTTCTTCCCATATTGCTTGAAAATGGTGCTCTGCTTAATAATGTGGAACACCCTCCTTTAGTAGTTTTTCCTTAAATTGGGCTCACCGGCCAATCTAATCACAGGTGTCTGAGATTGTTTTCAGTGATCAAAAGAACGCTGACACACAATGCAATCCATGAGTTAAACTGAAAAACAAAATATTTAATCTTTGTGACACTTAAATAGAATTTGCATAATAATTTGGAACAGGGTGTAATATTCATAATTGCTATTTAAATTGTTCTTTAAATTACATTATTAAACTAAACCCCTCTGTGTTAATTGTTGACATTATTCAGGCCATGGCAAGGCTCCTGAGGAACTGAGATTGCTGTTAAAATATGAATGGCTTCTTTCATTTTCTGGCCCCTGAGAAAAGTCATGATTCTGAAGTGCTGAACCATATCTTTTTATGGTGGATGTCCTTCCTTATAGCTGGTGTTTTGAAAATGGCATTAACTAGCGAATGCACACTAGCGTAAATGTTATGTGCACTATTTTTGCTGAGTATTTTGGTAAGATACACTGGTTTTAACAAATTATTGTGTTGCACACCTTCTGTGGGTCAAGTGCCTGTAGTAATCTTTTTTTTTTTTTTTTTGCCTATAATGTAGCTAAATCAAAACTACATCCTAAATTATACCTATATTAAAATGTTTGAAGCCCTATTTTGCTTTCACTCCAAATAATTATCTACATGGTGCAGGGCTATATAATTTAAATCTTAATTTTATTTAGTTTTATTTGAGCTTAAGAGGAAGGGTAAAATACGCTCTCCTTTGGGCAATACGCTGCAGATTAGACCATTGATATCTATGTGTGAGCAGAGGTCTATCGGCTGTGGTCCCGTCCAATACACCCTCCTCAAGGCATTTCTTGAGCTCTTCAATCAGCAGAAACATGGCCTTTGCTAATTGCTGCTGATCTGGCTCGGGGATGTGGGGGTTGGGAAGCATGTTGTACCACTGCAGGGAAGACCACCAGGATTTATATAGCGCCAACAGTTTGCTTAGCGCTTTACAATTACAAATAACGCAGAAGATTTATCTTTAGTTTACTGATCCAGGGAGAGAACTTTACACTCTCCCTGAAGCTTACATAGAAACCAAATAATATCAGGTGTTTACATTCAAATTATTTTTCCTACCCAGGTTAAAAAATTGATGGCTGATTTTTGCATAGACAAGCAAAGGTGAAATAATTTGTGTCCTTTCTAAGCAGAAACATCACTTAGGAAAGCTGATAAGGAAAACAAGGGTGCCAGCATTGACCTTTGTGTGTTCCCAGAACTCCTATTGCATTTTCTGTAATATAAAGTAAATGAAACATCCAGCAGGAAGGGTGAGAATCTCTTATAATGGGCACAGTGAGTGTGTAGACCCCAGAACATAGTACAGAGATCTCACCAAAAGGTTCCCAATAGATTTCAGAAACTGGGGGGTGATTTAACTCCAGCTTTTAGTAGAGGGGAAGGGACTTCTTTAAAACGAATTTTACATGTAGCCTGTAATTTTACTTTAGGCATGTATTCACACTGTCCCTTTTGCGCATGGTATGGCTGCGTATTCCCATAGATATCTTTGAGGTCCTGCTGTTTTGGTGAATTTTCAAAAACCAAGCCAGAACGGCTGCATGTTGCATCTTTAGTACGCTTTCTGAAACTGCACCAAAACTGCAGGACATTAGAAGTCTATGAGAAAATGCAGCTAACCAGTACGATACCCACAGATTAGCTGCGGTTTACCCAAAGTGTGTTAGGACAGTGTGAAGAGACCCTAATCGGTTGGCAACAGTCCAGCTCCCTGCTTGCGCCAATATTTATACACGTTCACCTTTCCCAAATATGGTAATGTAGCATTAAAAACTTCCTGAAGCTTTTTTTATGTTCGCCTACAGTGCCTTAAAAAGGTATTCATACTCCTTGAGAGTTTCCACATTTTGTCATGTTACAACCAAAAACGTAAATGTATTTTGTTAGAATTTTATGTGATAGACCAGCAATGGGCAAACTACGGCCCGGCGGCCTTTTAATCCGGCCCGCGGAGCTAGGCTCCTCTCACAGTCCGCCCTGAAGACCGGTGTAGCATGAAAATCTGTCTCCTATGAGGATCTGTCCCCCTCGACGTATCTGCGCATGTGCCGGAGATCGCCGATCGGCTGCTAATGCCTGAAACTGGCACATGCGCAGATACGTCAAGGGGGACAGATCCTCATAGGAGAC